AAATGTTTCTGAGCGATGATGTAAATCGACAAAAATAGTAAAATAATTCAATGAAGTGCGTAGTAAAGTGATTTGCACGTCGCTGAGAACCTGCGAATGACAAGCAGGCGTTTCAATCACAGACTTCTATATATTACTAGACTGCTACCTTCGAGCTGAAGAGCGAGGCAAGAGTTCCGCCATGTCTTGCTAGGTAAATAAAGTAGTATGTGTGCATCTGTGTGTCACTGACACACCAACAAGTCATGGCGGAAATTTTGCCTCGCTTTTCAGCTCGAAGATACCAGTCTAGTAGTAGAGGAAAGTCCTCTGATATGAGATTGTAGGTTTTTAACGTCCAAATTCAATCGCAAATCTTTTTTCGCAACGATTACACGATCTGACGATCAATTTTCCACTAAACAGATCTCACTCCAAGGGCAATATATTCATGATGGAACCAACATATGATGCCAATTAATTTAGCAGAAACCCATATTAGGAGCCTATGTCGTAACAGGGGACTTTCCTCTGTACAGAAGCCTGTGGTTTCAACGCGAATGCGTTCGGACGAGAATTCGCACGCCGGGCAACATACCGCAACTTGATGACCGTTTTGTGCGCGGGCGGATAGAGATCCTCGTCCGGGATCATCGCGGATCCTAGCCGGCGGCGGGCCACGATACCGCTTGCCACGACCGAGCGCGTCTCGCTTTAAAGCGCCAACTGCGACGGTTGCCTCGACGCGTTTGGCCTCGACGATGTCGTAAAAATTACTGCGTAAAATCGCTCGTCTAGGATTCTCCCTGCAAGCTCTCCTCCACCTTTTCCCGCGTCGCGATTTGGTGCTTGACTCCAGTGGGGGCGATACGCGATCGTGCAACGCGATACAATGTCAGGGCCGCCGCGTTGACGTAACAATGCACCGCGATGCACCGTAAAAGCGTGCGTCCGCGTCAAGTGACAACTTTATCTCGAGTACTACGTGGGGGAAAAAAACGTTAATTCACGTCGGCGATTCACGTGCGTGACGTGCCGATTGCGTAATCGGCCACTGCGAGAGAGTAAAGAATTTCAGGAACAAGTCATTTCAACGACCGCAATTTCCAACGTAAACCTACGTCTCTCCGAGACACGCGGGTACGAACTCCGCGGGTACGTTGACTTATTTTGATCGGGTGAAATCCCGGAATTTAACGCCGTTTTGTTCATCTTCCGCGTTCCCATCTCACTTCTTCGAACTTGTTTCGAGCCGCGAACAATGCCGCATTCAGAGGATGCGACCGCGCGCGTATATCGGCGTGTCCGTCGAAAACGCGGTGAACGCCGTCCACTGTGCGTTCAACGAGACGCATGCGATGTAATTGCGTAATAGACATCGCTTGTAAATCCCGCGTGTGCGACACGAGCGGTCGGGCTTCCCGCACTTTTTTTTAAATACGCCGGGTTGGACACGAACGTGACTATCGTCCGATTCTGCCAATGTAGTTTAACTTCAATCTCGGTTTAATTTTGTAAACCGAGCCTGTACGTAGTCGCGAAAGGGTTAAAACGTACGATCGGGGGCTTTCGGGCTTCACTGCCGCGACAATGGGGCGATCTCGACGGCGAAAGTTTCGCGCGGCCGTGGCTACGAACGCATGCAAATCTCCCAACGCACCGAGCACTCGCCGGAGATCGTATCCGCCTCGCTCTCCGCGCGGACGAGCCCCGCCAAAGGGGGGCTCTCCTGGTGCTTCGCGAGTGCAATGACGGAATCGCTATAAATAGAGGTTGAAATGCGCGAAACGACTGCATCGATGCAAAAATGCAGAGCCAATCTGCGAATCGCCGCGGCGTGACCGAACCCGCGCTCCGACACTGAAAAATGGCGCGCGTCTCGCCCGCTGCCGATGGTTTCGTGACAAAGAAAAATCGTGCGCCCTCACGAAGGCTCGTATCCCGTAAGTTTTCTGACGCGATGACATTTAACGTTTGTTTTACCGAAACTGGATATAAGAGCGGAACGTTCCGAGTGTTCGAGGCAGCGACAACGTAAATTAATTAATCACGCAAACGAGCGGCTTTACGACGCGACGGCCTACAAGTGACATCATCTGTTTTTCCATACCGCGCGGTTTCATCCTCTCGCCAATTTTGCCGGTGATATTTTCCAATCGTCTCGTGACCGAGGATACTTCAACGCAGCGTTTCTCAAACTTTTTCGCCCCGCGGTCTCCCAAAACGTAGAGAAAATCAAATTAACGCTCTGCGTCCCCCCTGCAAGAATCCAAGAGGGTAGAGCGAGGCTACTCAGTTAAAGCTTCGTATAAGAAATTTTATAAGAAACTTCCATGATTACTAGATCATGTCTAGCAAATTAATTTATTTAAATTTATAAGATTATCATTTCACAATTTCCCTCTTGTGTTACAGTGTGATTGTGTTACAGTGTGATTTGCAGTTTGAGAAACGCTGCCTTGACGTATCTATACAAATTACACATTACACAACGCTCCTTTAAAAAGAAATCGATCCGGAGTCTTTGGCCCATATTCTGAAACCTCTTTTATCGGTAAAAGCGCCTCTAAAAGTGGCTTCTAGCTAATCAGAAGGCTTGTTAGCCACTTTTAGACCCAGTTTTTCATGTTTTGGTTAACTGTTAACCAGAGAGAGTTAGTCGACTCTCCATCTTTTTCAACATTATCTAAGACAGAGAATAGACTAACTTCTGCACGGAGAGAATTTGTCTCTTCAAATTTACCCCGAAAATCGTGGTACCCCGAAAAAAAATTTCAAAGAATTTTATGAGTTTTCTAAATGTTACCATAAATTTTATTCGTAAAACAAAGTTCTCATAAAGTTCTTCAAAATGCCATGTTGTCCCACGATTGCATGACTTTCGGGGTAAATTTTAATAGAACATTCTCTCCGTGTGGTTAACAATTAATCAGAAAACGAAAATCCCAGCCTTCGAGGCGCTTCTATTGATAAAAGAAGGTTCAGAAAACGGGCCATCGTCTGAAAAAGTTAAACTGCATTCGCACGACACGCGCACGATCGATCGATTGGCAAATCCCCTTAATCGCCCCGACTGTCGAGTCACGGAACTCGTGGTACGAAGCATCGACGGATGTTTATCGCGCGAAAAGAAACTATTGTACACTTTTTTTCCAGACGCATCGGAAACCGATGGCGCCAAACCTGCGGACGACTGTTAACAATCGTCGCGAGTTATCTCAATGCCGGGCGTGCAGCATCGAACGAGATGGAAATTACTCTTGAAAATAAGTCGGGGAAAAAAGCGGACGTGAAGCCTCGCGAGTACGCAGATAACGATCGAGCGGAAATAAGGGAAAGAATTCAACGCGAGGATACGACGCGCACTCTCGTAAGCCCTCTCTGATCCTCTCGCGCGTCTACGACAGACTGCACAAATTAGAGCGAATTCGATTGCCTGCACTAGTGCGAGCAATCGAATTCGCTATTAGATTTCTTCGCGAGGAAGGATCGATACCGCCAATGTCAGCCGTATTATCCGCGACCCACGCTAATTCTTTCTCCGTGCGGCGTACGCCCGACTTTCTTTTCAGCCTTTTGATTCCGCGGAAAAAATCGTATTACTGGGGAAAGTTACTTTATCAAAGTATCTAGTTACAGTTTTTTTCGCTGAAAATGTAACTAGAGTTACAAGTTACCAATTCTAAAAAGTAAGGCGTTGCAGTTACTAAAAGAGTAACGAATCGTTACTTTGCAGTTACTTTCTTGCAATAAAAATATCAAATCTGCGTTTGAATTGTAGAGTCGATAAAGGCGTTTATGCGCAAATGCAAGACCTAATGCGAGCTGTAGAGGTTTAAAAAACATACAAATGTAACTATTAAATTAGTTACCAGTTATCAAAAAATGTAACTGAGTTAAGTTACAGTTACAGATGGAGAGAAAGTAACGAAGTTAAGTTAGAGTTACCAAGAAAAAGTAACTGTAACTTCGTCACAAGTAACAAGTTACTTCCCAACCCTGCTCGTTTACTAGGAAAAACGACAACCATGAAAAGAGCTGTTTACGCGACTGAGCTTGAAAAGACCAAGGGCGAGCGAATAACGCACGAGTGACGATCGGCGTAGTTGAAGTAGAGGAAAGTTCTCTATTACGAGAAACGTTTCCAATATAATAATCTCATCGACGAATATTGAATTCTTCACCGAGAGACTTCAATGATAACTTGGCCATGTCTGGCAATTTTAATATTCAAAACTCACAACGTTTCGACCCTGCTTTGTGGTCCTCTTCAAGTGATATTGTACCATATGTTCAGTGTAACAAATTAAAGGAACCGAGGCTTAAGCCTAATCTACAATGTGCTCTCTGCGTCTAGAAACATTCTATTTTGTAGCTAATGTATACGTTTACAAAATTTATGCAAGTTGATAAATTGTATATTATACATTGTATAATCGTACATTGTTGACAAATTTGTTGAGCGTTTTGATCTGTTTATATAAAATAGAATGTTTCTAGACGCAGAAAGCACATTGTAGATTAGACTTTAGGTTCACGAGAGGCAGAACATTCGCCAATGAAATTTCTCGCTTTTCACGAGTTCGCGCTAGGGGAAAAGTTCCACGATCGAGTCCCACAATCTAAATGCACGTTTCTAAACTCACTAAAAAGAAAAAGTGTCGCGGCCATTCGGTCCCTCGCCGTGCACGTACGCGACCGCAAGTTTTACGCGTGGGAAGAATAGCGCGAGCAGAAGAGAGAGTCTGGTACAACTCCGCTCCGCGTGTAACTCGCGAGGGACGACCTCGGAGCCTCGCGCGCGATCCACCGGCGCCGGGGGCGTCGCGTAAACAATACGCTGCTCGTATCGGTCACCGAAGTAAAGCGAGTTCGTGCCGTCCGCGACCAAATTTCGAAATTTCGATGTAAAACCTAAGCGAGTTGCACGCCGAGAGACGCGCGAGGGGGGGAACGTAAACCGGAACGTAAGACATCTCGCGAGAACGAAAGAGAGAGAGAGGGAGACGGGGTTGATGTACCTGGTGGTGCTCTTGAAGAAGTTGTTGCTCTCGCGGTTCATCAGCTCGCTGCGGAACCGCGACATCTCGTCCTCCATCTTCCTCATCTCGGCGTCGAAGCGCTCGCGTATGTTGGAGAACTCGGTGTCGATCACGCTGAAGTCACCGAGTTTGATGGGAATGTTGCGCTTGATACCACTGTCGGCCATGTTTCTCGCCCAGGCAGCACTCTCGTGTCTCTCGTCCACTGCGTAACACTTGACGGAGGACCCGCGCGCGCCCGCCGAATCACGACTCGATCGCGAAGACGCGAGGGGGCAATCGGTTTAACGTTGGCGATCGACTTCGCACGCGTTCACGTCCGCACACCGTGTCTCGTTCCCGTCTGAGGAGTGAGCGCGGCTCGCCGGCAGCCCCTTAAATACCCGGCGACGCCGGCGAGGCCGCTCGTGGGTGTTCGGCCGCGCTCGGCCGCGCTCGGCCCGCCTCGTGATCACGCACGCGGTCGCGATCGACGGCGGCCGGAACGTTCGAACGTTTGACGCGCGCGCGATGACGACCTTATACAAATTTAATTAGACAATTAATCGCCGAATGTGCGGCAGCGAGTCGTTAGCGAAAGGTCGACGGACGCCGCAACGTCGCCGCCTACATCCTGCCCTGAGTTTCGCCGCTGCTTCATGCAAAATTCCGCATTATTTCCCCAAGATAGAGGAGGGTCCTGTCTCGTTGTTTGAAATGACTTTTTAATACTTCATTGACATGTTCGAGTTTTATGTGCGTGTGTGTATTAATAAAGTGAGAAGAAATAGAGAGAAGGGCATTTTGAGACTACACGTTTCGGATAAACTGGGCCGAATTTGAGAATCGACTCTCCCTTCTCTGGATTATGTGCGCGTTTTAACAAATACGTTACTCTCGAGAAGAGATACAGGAAAAGGCAATTGAATTTCGATACTGTGCACTGTGGCAAATTAAGAGAATCGTCTTCCCCGTTCATCGAGGGGATCCTCAACATGGTCAACTTTCTGATACGTCGCGGCCGGACTTACGTTCGCGTTAAAAACAAACAATACGTCACGCGAAAGCGTGGCCGCGCTCTTAGAATTTGCTCATATAAAGATCGCGCGTGGGCGAGCCGCGACGTCGAGAACGGCACAAAACGAATCATCGTTGCCCTCGCGCAACAGAGCATGACTAACAAATTCGCGCGATCATTTCCTTATAAACGACCCCCGCGAAAGAACAATCTCGCAAATTCCACGCACGCATCCACGGCGGAATTGCGCGGCCGGTACGGGAGACAAAGTGCACGCGGCTACGTGTAAAAATAATATCTTCGCTTTGTGTCAGGCTGACCTGTGACCCGCGTAGCAGTCAGCGTAGGAGCTTAGCAAGAAGTTACCTAATCCATACATTATTCGAGTGAATACATTTTTTGTTAGGCTTCCAAACGTAATTTCAATGATACCATATTGTTGTTGGATTTAGTCCGATTAGTGCAACACTGTCAATCTGTACACAAAAGCCACATAATTTGTCTATTACACAAATGTTTTCATGAATTGACAGTTGTAGGAGCAAAAGGTGCCAAAAGTGCAGAATCACTCCAGCATCCCCTTAACTGAAATTACCTCCACAAGCAAATACTTGTTGGTAAAATAAGAAAAATATATTTTGAGGAAACCTAACAGCCCTTTGACGTTTAACAACGTTACGTATTTGTAAACGTGCATTTAAGAAGATTATTTACAATTGGATGAGATTATTTGTAATCAGATGAAATGGTGTAATCGGTGGGACATTTTGGCTAGCGGTTACCCCCTTGGTTTCCAGTAAGTTCGACGCGACGAGACTCTCCGGCGATGCTCTGATTCGCGGGGCGAGCGTATCCTCGTGACGAGGACGAACGGCAGGACCGTATGTGTCGAGTGGGCCGCGTATATGAGAGAGGACGGGGGCGTAGAAGAGCGATGACGTGCCCGTTCCATTCAGACGCGGGAGCGACGGCGGCCCGTGACGACGCGAGGCGCCGAAATAGCGTCGGCGTCACTCACCGGCGCGGGCGGCTCGGTTTCAATACCGTAAAAGAATTCTTTCGCGCGTGACGACGCCGCACGCGGCCCCTCGCGGCCCCGCGTTCTCCCGGCTCGATGACGCGTCACGTCACGAGCGAGCGATCGCCAATTTTCGACGGACACAACGCGTCAGGAATGCGTTTCCAATCCGACTTTTGTCGACGCGGGAAATCCGCGAGCGCGCTCGTGCCTCTCGTTGCCGCTCCGGTCCGCGGACGTTATTTTAAAAAGCCGACGCGATCGGGACACGCACCGTTGTACAGCGGCGATGTAAACAATGTCCTCAATTTGTAAACCGGACGGTGATCCTCCGGCATCAACGATTCCGGTCCCCGGGAAGGGTTTTAATTTCTTTCAATTAAAATTCTCATCGGTAACAATTGCGGTCCGTGAATCAGCGCGTTAAACGATGCATTGTCGATCCTCCTCGATGAGTTATTGACTTCGACGGGACCTTTTAATTCGGTCTAATTAAACGATCAGCACCGTAAAAATTATATCATCCGCCGTTGCAGCGTCTTACGTCATCTCGAGCCCTTTTGCTTTAAAGGCCTGTGTCCACGACGCTGAAACTTGGTTCACGTTCTAGCAAGAAATGCATGGCCGATCAACTTGCAGCTTTTACGGAATAGCTGCAAGTCGATTGGCTACGCATTTCTCGAAGCTAGAACTTGGACCGAGTTCTTGTATCGTGGACACAGGCTTTAACGCGTGTTAAGCCGGTATCAGACTACTTGAGATTGAGATTAGATTGAAAATTGACCAATTAGAGTAAAAGTTACTAAACTTGAGACTAGTAAACTTGACTGCGATTGGTCAAATTTCAATCTAATCCCAATCTCAATCCGTAGTCTGATACGGGCTTTACGAAGGCTTTCTCCGAAAAAATCCGGCTGACAAACGAAATTTTTGAATTTCTTCATCAGCCCTGCAAGCTCGCAGGCAACGTCGCTGGAACTTGAAACACGTTTCTTTCAAGAGGATGATTTATGATTTTCGTCACGGGCCCAATCGAAGGCCTGAGAAGGGTCTCTTTGAAGATCGCGTATCCAGCAGTAAAGGGGGAATAAAGGACGCTGATCACGACTAACGAGAGCATCGAGGTTGACGCTCAAGTGTGTCAATGTCGCCGGCCCCGTATCTCGATCCAGACGAGATTCTTTACGGGACGACGGACTTCCTCTCTTGTTTCTGAAACGACGAGACCGGACTTTACCGGACTAGACCGCCACCGGTGTGGGGGGAACCTGACTGGTGACGTGACGTCACCTCCGTGGGGGTTTCGCCGATCGATTAAAGGCGTCACGGCGGTTCCTAATATGGATCGAAGATAAGGTCGCCGTGGGATAATAACGCCTGCCGATCGATCCCTTCCATAATTGCGCGGGATTCCACGTCGGCGACGTTTTGGAAACGTTATTTCGAGCCGTTGAATTTTAATTCCATTTCCTAATTTTAATAAACCGACACTTGCACGGCAGAATCGTGAATGAGTCTCTGACATGCCAAGCCGGTTAGCGTCGAGTTTCGTCCGCAGATTTATGTCCAAAGTAGATCAATCTTGAGGATATTATCTGTCGTAATTACACAGGGAGGTTCAAGGAGCTTGATAATTTATGTACTGAAGTTTAATTCCTACTTGGAATCTAATTTCTAATTATATCATTTTACCGTTCCAACTATAATTTATATGACTGGGAGGGAATTTGGAAATTTCTTGAATTACAATTTATTAAGAGGTCGCCTCGACGCCAGTAGAGGAAAGTCCTAGTACTTGAGACTTACGACAGAATCGTGAAGGGTCACGACAATGTCTTTGCTCAGGCCCTAAAGTTAAGATTCCATAGATGAGTTGAGCTGTGGCAACGCGTGAGGCAATGCGAGTCGACCAATCAGAAGCTTGCCGTAATCTTCCTGCGTTGAAATTGAAGTATTTTGATACTTCAATTGCCGCAGTTAAACGCGTTTATGGAGTCTTAACTCAAGTCGAACCGCAAGCCGGCAACTGTCATACAAAAGGAGAGCGTCTATGTTATCATCCAGGCAGAGCTTTACACGATCCACGATCTAAGACAAAACACAATCGCGATTCGTATTTTCGCACGATGGGGAAAAATCGATTCCACCTGTCGCATCGGCGTGTCGTATCCTCGACATTGAATCGCGAAGGGAACGGCTGGCGGTCGGAGAAATCGAATCGGACAGACGAATGCCCTCGAACGAATCTGGCTTCGGGATTCTATGCCCGTCTCGGATTCTGCCAGCTAATAATAGCGCCCTGCTAGCGCATACCGAAGAGCTACTATCTTTTCGGCGACGTCAGTTTGCTTGTTTTCCTCGTCTACGTACCGGGGGCTATGAATAATTGTCCGATCTCTCGCCGAACGCAGGCATTTCGGCGTGACGAGGAGATGCAAGCGACGCGCGCGCGGATATAGCGAACGCGAGAGAAATGCGGGGTCTACAATGCAAGTCTTAGAGTCGCAGTCTTTTGTGTGATTGGCCAATTCTTATGTGTCTGACTGAGTTGACCAATTATGCGAAGTCTACAATGCGAGTCTCGGAGTGGTAGTCGTAAGAATAGTCGACTATGATTGGTCAATTCTTGTGTGTCTGACAGAGTTGACCAATTACAGTCGATTATTCTTACGACAGCGACTTTCCGAATAGCATCGTAGACCCTGCATTAAGGCCTGTGTCCACGATGCTGGAACTTGGTCCAAGTTCTACTTTCGAAAAATGTCTAGCCAATCACCCAGCAGCTATTCCATAAAAGCTGCAAGTTGATTGGCCACACGTTTCTCATATTAGAAGCCTGTCTTAAGGCCTGTGTCCACGATGCTAGAACTTGGCCC